CAAGAAGACTTTCCACATCAAGCAGATGTTCACCTGCACATCTGCCATTGTGGTATACTGCATCCGCTGTACCCGGTGTGGCTTCCTCTACATCGGGGAAAACAAGCGGAGGCTCGGGGACCGCTTTGCAGAACACCTACGCTCAGTTCGCAATAAACAGCTGCACCTCCCAGTCGCGAACCATTTCAACTCCCCCTCCCATTCCTCAGACAACATGTCCATCCTGGGCCTCCTGCAGTGCCACAATGATGCCACCCGAAGGTTGCAGGAACAGCAACTCATATTCCGCTTGGGAACCCTGCAGCCCAATGGTATCAATGTGGATTTCACAAGATTCAAAATCTCCCCTCCACCTACCGCATCCCAAAACCAGTCCAGCTTGTCCCCGCCTCCCTAACCTGTCCTTCCTCCCACCTATCCCCTCCTCCCACCTCAAGCCGCACCCCCATCTCCTACCGACTAACCTCATCCCGCCCCCTTGACCTGTCCGTCCTCCCTGGACTGACCTGTCCCCTCCCTAACTCCCCACCTACACTCACCTTTACTGGCTCCATCCCCGCCTCTTCGACCTGTTTGTTTCCTCTCCACCTATCCTCTCCCCTCTATCCATCTTCTATCCGCCTCCCACTCTCTCCCTATTTATTTCAGAACCCCCTTGCCCTCCCCCTTTTCTGATGAAGGGTCTAGGCCCGAAACGTCAGCCTCTCTGCTCCTATGCTGCTGCTTGGCCTGCTGTGTTCATCCAGCCCTGCACCTTGTTGTCTCAGATTCTCCAGCATCTGCAGTTCCTACTATCTCTGAAAGAGATAATATACTTAGCTTTTCAGTGACAATCGCTAAATGAGCATGGAGCTGCTTTCAGACTTAGCTATGCATACTTTACCATCACTATGGTGAAGTAACTAGATTATTTGCTTCTACTTTCCACATCATTAGCACTTGATACTGGAACACTACAATGGCTATAGAATTACAGCATAACTAGCTCAAACCATCACTGTCAGAAAGGAGACTGAAAAGGTATTACTGATTCTTTAAAATTTGTTGTCTTGTCTTACCTTAACACAGCCAACAATTGTGGTAGTAAGTGCAGAATTATACTGAGTGCACAATACAGTAGAAAACATGAGAATAAACCTACAGAAAGAAAACAGAACTGTGAAATGAAAGTTAAGAAAGTATTCTGGATTGTTTTACAATCATACAAAAATTTGTTCCATACTGAAAAGCAATTTTTACAACTTATAAATTCAGAAGCAGAACAATCCTTGTCAGTCATTGATGCGTTATCCATTTAAATTACATTTCTTTCAGATGAGATATATCTAGCACTGAAGTGAAAGGGTCCGTAGCTGAACTGTTCACATTCATAACCACCACCCAAACCCTCTCCAATACCAGCCTCCATATTCACACATTTATAGTGACAGCAGCACTTAGTGCTTACCTGCAGCACATAATTTTTTTCAAAACCTTGCCAAATGAGACATTGTGAATAAGTGGCAAGTAACCAATACATCATACTCAGAGTCCAAATCATATCATTTCTCAAACTCTATTGACAGCAGCAGATCCAAGCAAACTTAATAGTTTTCAAGATCCATTTATCAGGCAGAACACCAGTAGGAAGCCCTGCAAACATCATTAATACCCTCAGTCTGCCTGGAAGGTAAGCATCTCATTGGTGAATGCATATTCAAAACTTCAGATGGCATGTCTAAAACAAGGGAAAGAAAATTTAGCTATGAATGTTTGCTGGTCTAAATGGTCTCATCTCATACATGAAGATTGATGACACAGGCGATGTGCAAGATGGCTACTGCTATACATGGAACTTTACAACTGAAGGAATGAAGAACAAAAACAGATACTTCCCTTGATTTGCTGTGTGTACTATATATGAAAATCTAGAAATGCAAATATTTACACACACAACACTGCCTCAACTTCTAGCCAAAACCCTAGCAATGGCTGCCACTACATGTTCAGTAAAGTGCAAAATTATGGATATGGGAAATATTTTAGACAATGTGGAATTCATCCAGTAGTTTGACTGTAGATTTAAGTTATATCAGGAGCATATGAGCCATATAATACAGATGCATGGTGCTGCTAATTAAGGGTCTATTTGTGGCGATGAAAGTGGAAGCAATCTGAGCTCTTAAAAGGACTGATCAAAAGATGACAGCGGCAGACAGACTGAATAAAGAATCTTCACTTCGGCAGCAATTCATCGTAATTACTTTTGAAGCATACATATTGTTTTTTCATAAAATCAGAAGTGATAATGTTTGCTGAAGATTGCACAATGCTGAGGTCAGTGATATTTAATTGGGCCAGTCACAAATACTGTGATGACTGCAGTAGGAAAGACTCCTCTGAACAGTCCTGTGGCATCTTTTACATGCTGGAGAGGAGAGGAGGGATGGACGGACGGACGGACTGTCTTTTGGTTTAATGTCACCAAAGACGGCATGACAGAAGTATAGAATTCCTGAATTATAAATAAGTGATTGCTATCAACATAATGAGTACAGAAAGTAATAATTCTGCTCCATCAATTTCTACGCCCTCAGTTTCTTAAGCACGGATGGATTTTCCGGGTATGAACTTGCCAGTTTCTGCCTTCAGGATCTTGCCCCATTGCAGGTCAAAAGTAGGCCAAATTGTTAAGTAACTTTCTAAATTACGGTTTTATTTCACTATTTAGATATTGATGTTGCATTATGTAGATTCCATATTTAGTCACTTCAGAATAAATGAGTGTCTACATCTATATCATAATGCCAAATGATGTTAACATTAATTTGAGACTTTTCTCATTCTTACTGTTTTAATTTTTGGGCATCAATTCACAGCACGCAGCCAGTCCTATGAGCCCTTTTACCATTTACCAACTTAATTCTCTGCTGCACTCCTAACCATGACCTACCTCTATATCCACAACCTGTCGCACTATTTCACTGATCCTTGATGCAAGCTTCAATGATTGAAAGGTGAGATTCTATTAGATGTTTTACACTGATAGAGTTGAACACCAAGTTCAATCATTTCAGATCATAACCACTGCTCCTATTTTTGTTCACAACAGCTGCTGGGAATGACTCTGTTGTTGCCATTTATAGCTCCTCTTGATCATGTACTTGTGCCATTAACACTCCTTTTTGCACTGCACTCATTCCTTTTGTGATTAAATTTCTTTCCTTCCACACTATTCTTCCTGCCTCTCTGCTTACATACAACGAGATTTTTCAGTTCTGATGAGCGGCCCCAGATCTGAAAACCAACTGCTCCTCTCTCCACAGGCGATGCATTACCTGCTCAGCACTTCCAGCATTTTCATGTGTATATGTTATACTGCTTGGCATAAAACTATTCAAGATAGAAGTGAACTAAAAAAAGCAAAATCAGATACAATTTTTTTCTAATTCAGTGCTGCATTCTGCATTTAAGAATTTTTTTTAAAAACAGGATTATGATAACAATATCTTCCACAACTGCTCTGATGATGTCATCAGCTAGGAAGTCAGTCTTGTATCTTGCAGCAAACTCTAAGGTGATAATCTTAAATTACTCCTCAGAGTCAGAGGCTGGGGACATAAATGCCACCTCATGGATTTAAGCAGATAATCCAGATTCATACATTAAGAAAGTACTGCTTTGTCAGAGTTGCTGTCATTCAGAAGTATTAAGCCATCTCTGCTGAAAATTAGAGAGTCTATAGTTTTACTGTTCACTCCAAAGTTCTGGATGATATTAATTATTCAGTCAGTGTCAATGAAAGAGATTATCTTTATTTCATTATTTTGTGGTAGCTTGCTGCATGCAAATTGACTGCTACTTTTCTCTACATTATAGCTGTGACTTATCTTCAAAAAGTGAATCAGAGTCATACAGCACGGAAACAGACCCTTCGGTCCAACCAGCCCAAACTAAACTAGTTCCACCTGCCTGCACTTAGTCTATATCCCTCCAAACATTTCTTATTCATGAACTTACCTAAATGTCTTAAATGCTGTAATGGGGAGGCAATGGCCTAACGGTATTGTCGCTGGACTGTTAATCCAGAGACTTGGATAACATTCTGGGGACCCAGGTTTGAATCCCGCCATGGCAGATGGTGGAATTTGAATTCAATAAAATATCTGGAATTAAGAATCTAATGATGACCATGAATCCATTGCCGATTGTCGGGAAAAGACCCACCTGGTTCACTCATGTCCTTTAGGGAAGGAAACTGCCATCCTTACCTGGTCTGGCCTACATGTGATTCCAGACACACAGCAATGTGGTTGACTCATAACTGCACTCCGGGTAATTAGGGATGGACAATAAAATGGTGCCTAGCCAGCAACTTCCTCATCCCATTAATGAATAAATGAATAAAATTAACTGTACCTGCATTTTTCTTTAAAAAAAGTATTTTCCCTTTCACCTTACAAACATGTCTCCAGTCTTGTAATCCCCCATTCTACTGACAAGGCACCTGCCATTCACCTTATGCATACCCCTCATGATTTTATAAACTTCTAAGGTCACCCTTCAATGCTCCAGTGAAAGACATCCCAGCCCATCCAGCCTCTGCCTATAACACAAACCTTCCATTCCTGGCAACATCCTGGCAAGTGTCTTCTGAACCCTGTCCAGCTTAGTAGAAATCTTCCTATAACAGGGCAACCAGAACTGGACACAGTACATCAGAAGAGAAATCACCAACGTCCTGTACAGCCTCAACATAATGTCCTAACTCCCATACTCAAAAATCACTAATCACAAATGTTTTGCAGGTGGCATCATCCTGGGGAAACAATGGTCTAGTGGTATTATCGCAGGACTGTTAATGCAGAGACCCAGATAATGTTTTGTGGACCTGAATTCAAATCCCACCCCAGCAGATGGTGGAATTTAAATTTAATTTTAAAAAACTGGAATTAAGAGTGTAACGATGACCGTGAATCCATGGTCAATTGTCAGAAAAACCCATCTGGTTCACTAATGTCCTTTAGGGAAGGAAACGGCTACCCCTTCCTGGTCTGGCCTATATGTGACTCCAGACCCACAGCAATGTGGTCGTCTCTTAACTAGGCAAGATGGGCAATAAATACTGGCCTCATCAGTGATGCCCTCATCCCATGAATGAATAAAAAGCAATATAAATGTACCACCTTCTTTCTAGTATGGCTGATATTATTTTCCATATTCTATTCATTTGTGACCTTCCTTGTATTGTACACAAAGTGTCACAAAGTTTCATTTACTTCTACAGCTCTCTATTTCTCAGTCATCCCTCTATCTATGCTATATCATTTATTACCTATGCAATTATGTAATAAGTCTCAGATGACACTATTCACAGCTTGCTTATGTTGTTGTGTGTATATTTTATGTGCAAGTAAAAAGGGCAAGTGGAATTCAGTGTGGCAATAAGTTAAAGTTATAGTTGCAGAAAGCAAATCAAAAAAGTTAATGAAATGTTGGCCTTTACCTTGAACAGACTGGAATGCAAGTTAGGGGAGATTATGATTCAGTTATATTGAAACTGGATTAGACCAATCTGGATTACTTTTAGGCATCTTACTAGAAGGATAAACTGGCCTCAGGAAAGAGTGTCATGCAGATTTACCTTAAAGATATCTGGACTTAGAGGGCCAAATGATGAGGACAGACTGACTCTCAAGGTAGAAGAGTTGGACTTCTGTTCTAGGAGCACAATTAGTACTGCAGAACATCAAAGAAACAGAAAATGTGTTTTCCAAATTAAATATACTACTGGCACTCAGGCATACAGTCCTACAAATGAAAGGTTAGGAATGAACCTCAGTATTAAATCCAATTCTGGATGGCATCCAGCAGACCTTGCCCGATGCCAATAACTATATTCACATTTTTTCCACTAGCGGGTCATTGTATAGACATCAGAAGTTACAAACCAGCTGGCTTGTTTTCCCTCATTTCTAACCCCTCTTTTTTCAGGTCAGGGAAACAATGACTAATTAAATCATCCTTTTATTACCCTAAGTGAGTAGTTGTCCCAATACGGAGATCTGAATCTTGAACCTTCTTGGTCTGCACAGTTCAGCATTACTATACGAGTAATGCATGGATTTATTCTTGCACGAGTTCAACTGGGAACTACTCATTTGGAAGAAGTGATTTTTTTTCCTCTGTAAAACACATGAACCATCAATCATTTTCAGGAGTTTAAACAGAAAGTAAACTTACCCCATTACGCAGGACAGCAAGAACTGCATCACAAATATGGTATTTGACCAACCTTCAAAATTAACTGCCTGGAAAGGAAAACAATGGCTTCTTTAATACAGTCAGAGAATACAGCATGGAAACAGACCCTTCAATCCAACTAGTCCATGCTGACCAGAATCTCAAACTAAACTAATCCCAGCTGCCTGCGTTGGGCACATATCCCTCAAAACGTTTCTTACTCATGTACTTATCGAAATGCCTTTTAAACATTGTAATTGTACCTGCATCGTTCACTTCCTCTAGAAGTTCATTCCGCAAATGAACCATCCTTTGTTTAAAAAAAAACGTTGCCCCTCATGTCCTTTTTAAATCTTTCTCTTCTCACCTTAAAAAATATGCCCCCAGTCTTGAAATCCACATCCTAGGGAAATAACACCTGCCATTCACCTTATCTATCTCATGATTTTAAAAACCTGTGTAAGGTCGCCTCTCAACCTCCTACGCTCTACTGAAAGAAGTCTCAGCCTGTCCAGCCTCGTTATAACTCAAACTTTCCATTCCGGCAACATGCTGGTAAATTTCTTCTGAACTCTCTAACTAGGTGACCAGAACTGCACACAGTACTCCAGAAGAGGCCTTACCCATGTCCTGTACAACCTCAACATGACTTCCCAACTCTTATACTCAAAAGTCTGAGCAATGAAGGCATGTGGGCTACATGACTTAACCATCCTATAACTTTTAATCTCTAAAACTGTGGAAAATGCAATATTATGTTAAACACATCTCAAACAGTTTTTCTACTGAACAGATCCAATTATTCCATACTCAAACTGAAGTGTTTCTCATCTCTTCTCATCTGTTTGCTTGATGGCTCAACAAATTTATCCACTGAGATGCAAATCACAATCATATACAGCCCAGATTTGATTCCCAGCCCTTGGTGAAATAAATGATCTCACTCAGTGAGATGTGGACGGGGCCTAGAGTCCCTGTTCAAATTACGTATCCAGCAAGCAGAAGAATGAGGGAGCAAATACTAGTAACTGTAAAACTACACCCCAGCATTAAGTAGCTCAAAGTCTCAATACAGGAAGGAAGGAAACTAGTCAGAAAACAGCAAGAAAAACCACAAGTAATTAAAGAAAAGTAGCTATGAAATGGAAAGAAAGTGGATTCAATTATTCCACAATTTAATTTTGAATGCAAGTTAAACATGGACAATGAGACATAAAAAATGGCAAGAATCCCTATTTTTCTTTTCAAAAGCCAAGAAAGCAGATCATGCATAGGTTTGTTCTTAATTCATTCATGGAATGGAAGTGTTGAGGTTGGACCAGTATTTATTGCCTATCCCAACAGCCCTCGAAAAGGTGGCAGCAAGTTGCCTTCGTGAACTGCTACAGTACATTTGGTGTTGGAACACATACAATGCTGTTCAGGAGCGAGTTCCAGGAGTTTACAGTGACACTGAAGGAGAAGCAACAGACTGCCAAGTCATGATGGCAAACTCCTTGGAAAGGAACTTGCAGGTGGTGTTCCATTGGATGCTTTGCCCATGCTGCTCCAGATGGCAGTGTTCATGAGTTTGGAAGGTGCTGACTAAGGAGCCTTGGTGCATATTTGCAGTACATATTGTGGTACACACTACTGTTACTGAGCATGCGTATGGAAGGATGCAGTGACAATCAAGCAGGTTATTTGCCTGGATTATGTCAGGCTTCTTGATTCTTTTTGGAGCTACAATCATCTGGGTATGAGGGAGTATTCCAACACACACTGAACTCTGTAGATGGTGAACAGGCTTTGGGTATCAGGAGTGGAATTACACCCTCCATGATTCTTAGGCTCTAACCTGCTCTCGTAGCCACTGTATTTATACAGCCAGTCCAGGTGAGCTTTTGATTAACAGTAACCCCCAGAATACTGCTAGTTGGGGATTCAGTGATGGTAATGTTATCGAATGTCACAACACAATGACTAAATTCTCTCTTGTTGGAGATGGCCATTGCCTGGCACTTATGTGGCATGAATATTATTTGTCACACAAATGTTACTTGCCACTTGACACCCTAAGCCTTTGTTTTCCAGGTGTTGTTGCATTTGGACAAACTGCTTCAGTATTTGAGGAACAAAATCAGAAATTGGAAGAAAATCTCAGGTCAGGCAGTTTCTGTGGAGAGAAATCAGTTAGCATTTCAGGTCCAGTGGCCCAGAGTTCTGAAGAGTCGTCTCTGGACCAGAAATGTTAACTGTTTTCTCTCCACAGATGCTGCCAGACCTGCAGAAGATTTTCCACTAACTTCATATTTTGTTTCTGATTTCTAGCAGCCGTAGTTCTTGTATTTTTTTGTTCAGTATGAAGAGCTGCATACAGCGCTGATCGGTAAGCAATCATCAGACGATCCTATTTCTAACCTTATAACGGAACGAAAATTATTAACAAAGTAACTGAAGGTGGTTGGGCCTAAGACACTATCCTGAGGAACTCCTGCAGAGGATGTCATCGGACTGGGATTACTGACTTCCAACCACCACATTCTGTGTGTCAGGTATGATTTCAAACAGAAAGCATTCCCCCTACTCTAGTTTTGATAGGTTTTCATGATGTCACATGCTGCCTTGATGTAATGTTCACCTCACTTCTTCACCACTCAGCTCCTTTTTCTCCATATTTTAATTGTAATAAGGTCAGGAGCTGAGTGGCCCTGGCAGAAAGCAAGTTTGATTGTCACTAAGCAGTTATTGCTAAGCAAGTGCTGCTTGACAGCATTGTTGATTACCCCTTCAAATCACTTTATTGATGATGGACAGTATATTGATGAAACAGTAATTGGCCAGGTTGAATTTGTCTTGCTTCTGTATACAGGGCATACCTGTCAACTTACCACAATGCTGGGCTGGTGCCAGTGTTGCTGCTCTACTATACTATTGCCACAATGTTGTCACAGCCTTTGCAGTGTCCAGTGCCCTCAGCCCACCATGCCTATGCCCACCAACAAGCATCAACTAAACTAATTCCCAAGCCCATTTACCTGCACTTGGTCCATAGCCTTCTAGGCCCTGGCATTTTAAGTATTCATCCAGAAGTTTATATGTTGCAAGACTACTTGTTTTCACCACCCCCTCAGGCAGCAAATTCCATATTTCCATCAGCCCCGGGTGAAAATAGAAATTCTCAATCTCCTCTAAACCATTTACCCCTCACCTTAAATTTATGCCCTTTGGTCTTAGGCACACCTGCTATGGGGCAAATATTCTCACTATCTACTTTGTCTATGCCTCTCAAATTTGTACACCTCAATCAAATGCTCCATCAGCCTCCTCTGTTCCAAAGAAAACAAATCTAATCTGTCCAGTTTCTCAACAGACTTTTCAATGCAGGCAATATCCTGGTAATTCTCCTCTGCAGACTCTCCAGTGCAATCACATCCTTCCAACAGTGTGGTGACCAGAACTGCATACAGTTATTCCAACTGTGGCCTAAACAATGCTTTATAATGTTGTAACGAGATTTTCTTGCTACTATATTCTACGCCCCAACTAATGAAAGCAAGCATCCAACACACCTTCACCTTCCTGTCTATCTATGCAGACACCTTCAAGGGTCTATAGACTTGTATACCAAGGTCCCTTTGTTCTTCAGTATTCCCTAAAGACCTGTCATTTATTGTGTAAATCCTTCCCTTATTAGACCTCCCAAAATGCATCACCTCACACTTATCAGGATTAAAATTCTTCTATCTGCCATTGTTCTGCCCAATTTATCAGCTGATCAATATCAGACTCCAGCTCAGGATCATCCTTCTCACCATCAACAACACCAATTTTAGCAACATCTGCAAACTTACTAATTATACCTTCCATATTCACATCCAAGTAATTGAATGTAGAAAAACAGCAAGGGTCCAAGCATCGATTCCTATGGTGCACCGCTGATCACAAACTTCCAATTACAAAAGTAACCATCCATCATCCTTTGCCTCCTATTTAGAGCACAGAACAGTACAGCACACTACAGGCCCTTCGGCCCACGACGTTGTGGCAACCTTCTATCTTACTAAGATCTAACTACCCTGCATACCCTACATTTTACTATCCTCCATGTGCCTATCCAAGAGTCGCTTACAAGTCTCTAAAGTATCCGACTCCATACCACTGGCGGCAGCGCATTCCACGCGCCCACCACTCTGTGTAAAGAACCTACCTCTGACATCTCCCCTACACCTTCCTCCAAACACCTTAAAATTATGCCCCCTTGTTATAGTCATTTCCACCCTGGGAAAAAGTCTCTGACTATCCACTTTATACATGCCTCAAATATGACAAGTAATTTCTTCACTCAAAGGGTTGTACGTTTTGAGATAACACAGTTTGAGAGTCAATTTTGGATCTCGTCTGCTAACTTGCTTTGGATCTCATTGAATCTTATCTTCTGGACCAGGCATCCAGTTGGGATCTTGTCAAAGGCCTTACCGAAGCCCATATAAACCACATCAACTGCATTACTCTCATTAATATATTTAGCCATCTTTTGAAAATATTCAATTAGTCAGACAGGATCTCCCACAATAAAAACCATGTTGACTATCTGAAAAATCCCTGCTTTTCAAAATATTGATTAATCCTGTACTTGAGTGCTCTCCCCTCCCCCCAAACCCAGTCAATAATTTCCCTATCACTGACATCAAACTAGCTGGTCTGTACTTAAAAGGCCATTCCCTGCTGCCCTTCTTGAACAAAGGAAAAACATTAGCTGTTCTCTAGTCAGCTGGCAATTCATCTGTGGCCAGCAAAGTATCAAATATATCCACCAGGCGCAAACAATCTCCTCCCTTGCCTCCCACAGCAGGCTAGGATACATCAAGCCCTGGAGTTTTATACTCCTTCATGCCCTCTAAAACATCTCATACCGCCTCCTCATTAATTTTAAGTTGTTTTAAAACCTCAACATCCTAAGTAACATCCTCGGCGACAATGTTTTACTCCTCTGCAAATGCAGACGAGAAGTATTCATTTAGACGTCACCCAAGTCAATTGGCTGCAACACACCCCTTTCGTCTCCAAGTCTCACTCTTACCCTAGT